TTGGCCACTAATATATCCCGTTCAGTTTCCTGACGGATCACTGCATTTGACACCGGATTTTCACCCAAATGTTGCAGCAGATGGACAAGCTCCACAGCTTTAAGTACGCAATCTGGTAGGTGGTTCAACGGTAAATGGCTCAGAGCGTCCGCGCTTCTATTTACTTTCCGAGGGACATAGACGATATTGTAATTGTAAGCGGAGAGCAATAAAGCCCAACGTTGCATACGAGGTGACGCCATCCGGTTTATGCCCATCTTCTCACCAATCAGGGTTAACAGAGACTTGTGGTAGGTAAAGATTTCAAATTTTTATCTCCACAGATACTGGTGGGATATCTGGACTCTAAAGCTAACGGCTAAGGCTTCCTGTCGAGCTGCGAATAGTTCGTTTCTGCTGGTGCCAAACTTCTGGACTCAAAAGCTATTGGTAGCTCGGTCATGGCTTCCATTTGGTGTGATAGTACGACCCCGAGTCCTGTAGGTGACGCATCGCAACGAAGAGTGATCGGTTTTTTGGGTCAAAATATATTAACAACTTAGCGTTACTGCTAGCGAAGGTGACAGCGTCGTAAGTTTTTGTTGTTCATTGGACCACATCCACCTGGTATTCTTATGAAGCAAAACATACAATGGTGCGAGAAGATTAACCAAATTGGGTAAGAAACGACTGTAATGGGTTACCATCCGAAGAAATGATTGCAGTTCGTTACTGTGTTGGGGTGTTGGAGAATGTAGAATGGGCTGCAATTTTTTTCGCAGTGGTTGTAGCCCGTGTTTGTTTAATCGAAACATCAGATACTAAACGGTAACACAAAAGAAGACGCATTTAGATTCCATGAGTTTCAGTTCACTCTCCTGAAAGCCTTCCAAGACTGTAGTAAATGCTGTCATATGCACGTAGTCGGTACGACCAGTAACTAAAATAGCGTCCAAATAAGCGCAAACTCCGGGTATGCCTTTCACTAAGTTGTCTATAAGTAAGTGAAAGAGCGCAGGCGTGGAGTGTATCCGGAATGCTAATCGTTTATAGCAAAGTAATCCCATCTGTGTACTGGTGGTGGTAATTCCCTTTGAGGATTCCTGTAGCTTCACTTAAGAATAAGCATGGCTTATATCAACTTTCGAGAACTTTTGTCCACTCAACAAGGTTAGGTAAAGGTCCTCTTTCCGTGAAAGCGGATACTGTTCCGTGGTTGTGGCTTGAGTAACCGTCAGTTTATAGTCGCCGCAAATGCGAACCGAGCCATTAGGCTTCTGTACAAGAACGAGGGGCGCAGCCCATGAAGAGTGGCGTACGGGTGAAATTACTCCGCCCTTTTGTAAGCGCTCTAACCCTAACTCTACTTTCGGACGGATTGCAAAAGGTAGACTACATGCCTTGTAAAATTCCGGTTGAGTCTGTGGTTTGTTATTCAAACAACCTTTGAAATTATGAAACTTCCCAGGTATGTTTATATCGAAAACACTTGCAAAAGCTTTCAAGAGTGTAAAGAGGCTAGAAATACTGTCCACTTTCTTGACAGAGTGCAATGCTTTCATCAGTTCCTCTCAAGTAGATTCGGTCCGTCTGTGTTAACAAAGATTAGAGGAAGCGTCAAGGTATTGTTCCCAGGATTTAATTTCATGTCACACACGCCCAAAACAGCGAATATTTCTCCAGTGTAATATCGTTATTTAGACTGAGCAGAAGTCAGAACCAAGTCGGGTGGAGTTCGGTTGTTGAGCAATGTAACCGAAGTCACGTACCAATCTCCAAACCTACTGGCTGGCTTTCAATTTTTCAATCAACAGTGCACGAGGGTGCTCCTATTGCGTGCGACGTGGTTGTATGTGAAATTAGACTGAATATGGGATAATCAACATTCTCCACAGCTCGAACAGTACCCTGGGCAGGGCGGGGTAGCGGTCGTTGAACCACAGTCAAACGACATACGCATGCAGGTTATTCACTCTTATCGCATTTTTGACAAGTAGACTATTTGTGTCTGGAATCGGTAACCGTTTCCTGCTTCTCTCCGTATCGGTAGCACGTAAGGAAACGTTTGTTGATCGTTGATAGTCAAGGTTTAACCGCATGGATTGCATTTGAAGGACAATAGCTTCGATAATGCAGTAACCGTTGCACAAAGCGTTCCCTTTGTCTGACCAGTACACAGGCCGTTTCTAAAGTGAGTTTATTCTCGTCTTCTGACAGCAGACGTTCTCTAGCTTTATCGTCTCGAAAGTCAACCAAAAGGCATTGCACCGCCCTTGAGGCATCGAATTTCGTTGCTGGAATTTCATTGTAACGGTAGTCAGAAAGGGACTGTTGTATACTAGTGATGAATTCATTAACACTCATCCCTTCACCCTGTCATAATTAAAAAAACATAGGTGTGCCGTAAATGCAGGTTGCCGTGGTCCACAAAGGCCACGCAGGGCGATAAAGCGGTCCGTCAGGGATGTGCTTTCTATAAACGCAACGCATCAAAATTCCGTTGACCTATTGACCCGAGGTGTTACTCAGTAGTTTGATAGATTGGGCTTCTCTAAGTTTAATGTGACGGTGTGTAATTATGAACAGCTCAAGGTAGTCACACAAGGTTCCTTTCCAACTGTTCCAAACTGCCAAGTATGGCTTAAACGACGTATCCTTCTAAAAGGGATCAGACGGGGGAAGATAGCTCATAGTAACTAATTCCAAGTTTAACCTTCGCCGCCAAATGTCACAGTTTAGCAATTGCGGATCTACCGCTCAGTGGCTGGCTCTTAGCCAAAGTAACGCAAAACAAAACACGTTAGACAAACAGAAGGCAAAATTACTTATGAGTAGAAGGATTTTAGCGAGTATTTTTGTTCGTCGCAATCAGCCGACAATTCGGATAAGTCCACTACCTATCCGGAAAAGCACCAGACGGCCGTTTCGCCCTATTGGGGCTCGTCAGTGGTGCGCATCCTTCGGTCCTCTACGGAGGATCGAACCCATGACTGCTAGTGGCTTGTGCCAACTAGCCCGTTGCGTTATGCAACTGAGCCATGGAGGACGGTAGCCGACCATCACGAATTGTTAGTTAATTGCGATATAGCCCGACCCATCCCCCACTGCCATGCAGGCACCTGTCATGCAGATGACAGCGGTTGGCCTTCCGGTGTCATGACTTCCCGGCTACGGCAGCTATGAATCGACATAGCATTTATGGAATCCGTAAGGGCAAATTTGTACTACTTATGAGTAGAAGGATTTTAGCGAGTATTTTTGTTCGTCGCAATCAGCCGACAATTCGGATAAGTCCACTACCTATCCGGAAAAGCACCAGACGGCCGTTTCCCCTATTGGGGCTCGTCAGTGGTGCGCATCCTTACGGATTCCATAAATGCTATGTCGATTCATAGCTGCCGTAGCCGGGAAGTCCTGACACCGGAAGGCTAACCGCTGTCGTCTGCATGACAGGTGCCTGCATGGCAGTGGGGGATGGGTCGGGCTATATCGCAATTAACTAACAATTCGTGATGGTCGGCTACCGTCCTTCATGGCTCAGTTGCATAACGCAACGGGCTAGTTGGCACAAGCCACTAGCAGTCATGGGTTCGATCCTCCGTAGAGGACCGAAGGATGCGCACCACTGACGAGCCCCAATAGGGCGAAACGGCCGTCTGGTGCTTTTCCGGATAGGTAGTGGACTTATCCGAATTGTCGGCTGATTGCGACGAACAAAAATAGAAGGGAAAATTGTATCCTAACCAGCATATTGTACAACGCATCGATCCATTATGCTAAATTAGGCCAATCGATGAGTGGGTGAGCGGGTTATTTACACAAGTCAGCGGATTCAGGGAACGGATAGGAATGGCTCAGTACTTTGGCTGTGAGGATGCCCCTGGAACTCAAGAGCTGTGATGAAAGACTAAAAGACCCCGATTTTAAGTAGATAATCATAAGTTAGGTACTTTATCGAAACAGACGCAGATAACACATCGGTCGACTGTGCACGATTATATGGCGCAATCATGATGCGGCTCATGCTTAGACCCTTTGCGGCACAGATGAATTATTTCGGTGTGAGGGATACAATTGAGGTTGACAGGGACAAAGCTGAACGGTATTATACACGGTTTCATAAGATATACCAATCAATGGCAACTATATAGACATCATCCGGCAACGCTTGGGTGATGTAGCCTAGAATGTAGACATTGCACGCCACAACAAAACTTGGTTGCACTCCGCGACACACATAAACCTTCACGTAAGTCAAGTAAAGAAAACTTAACTGTTACAAAGTTAAGCCTACTGCAACATGATTTATATGTTTAGCTTTCTATGTCGATAATTGCTCTAGCTGAATAAACACTGAAGCAATACCGCCTTCGGCCTCCAATCGCATGTATTCTACTATGTGGTACTGTGTACACCGTGCAGGTTAGGTTTCCTTTTCCCTCTATAGCTTTTACTGGGTGAATGACAAGTGCCAATAATGTTTCTGACTGGCAGCGTGAAGCGTTGCTTCGGCGTGTTTAAACACCGAGAAACTGCCAACACGTACCGCGCGAACCTTTGTGTGGTTACCGTTATGGGTTTAATTAGGTGATTAGCGCGTGGTAGCGGGATGTCCGTAAACAGTGGACGTAGGCGGGCAATCTAGCTTTAGGATGTTGTCGGATTGGAACGCATGGCAGTGGCTTCTCATTGGTTGCTTCCAAGACAATTTCCATTTGTCCGCCCTAAACGGGACAAGATCGAGATGTTACCATCTCAGGGTACACGTACATTCCAATTTAGTCTCATGCTCTCATGAGAAGGTTTATTAGGCTAATGTTGACAGGATCTGGGCGTATGCTACCAGGTGATCTATATTAAAGGCGTCTATCAGATTAAAATTAAATACCTAGTCGATACACAGCAATATCCTGTTTACCAAATAGCTAAGGGGTAGTAAATAAAGTGGGATCACATATGACTTCAATTTAAATACTGCGAGCATGTGTATGCCAAGGTAACAAACTGCAGCGCAAACTCACCTGCACAGTGTAAAAAAATGTTAGCAACAAAAGTGTGGGTACGTAAAACAAAACCCCCCAGATGGTGCTGTTCGGGTCCACTTCATCACTGGATGCGATATCACGCATATCAAAATCGCTATCACAGCGTAAGGGGATGAAAGGGTATTCGACTGGGTCGAAAAGTGTCACTATGGTATGTCTGCTACGGAGAACCCATAGATACAATACTTTGAGGTCGGCGACTCCGTTACAGCTCGCCAATCACAAGTGCAGTTCAACATGGAGCATAAAGCGTTCGCGCGAGGTATGTAGAGTGATAAAAGTCGCGCAGGGTTAAAGTAGGTGCCATCAAGCGTGTACTTTTGGGGAAGAAATTGTTGATTGTTTCGTGTTAAATTTCTCCGAATATACGTAATTGTGGTGAGCAAAACAGTCACAAACGCTGAAAAATTTGGATGAAAATTAAAACAATGTGATCGCAGCTTGGTGGTGTGACTTAAAGATGACACAAAAATAGTGTTTATGTGTTTGGAAGTCTAACTCCCCCAAACGAATTTACGCGCTGGTTAGATTCATCATAAGTTGTGCTCAACAGTGGTAAACCAAATACTAGCGAAAAAGGTGGGAAAGGTAACTAGAAGGCGTAGTGGTTTTGGGGCCTGAAGCATTTCAACAATGAGCACTAACGAGGAAGAAGTAGGTTTTTATGTATAGAATGGTCACAGCCGCACACCAATAGATATCGGTGAGACATCTGGACGGCGGTTTCGATCTATTGAGACTTGTCGACAGCGTGTATCCGACTGTTCTTGCTGGATCCCAAGTGGTGACTGCACCCTAAAGAGGTAGTGACTGGGGTCACTCAGTTATGCGTCACGACAACTTAACACCAGGGTTGACTACAAGCTGCGGTTTAACACGACTCATCTTTCACCGTAATACATGTTCTCAAGCTGCAGAGGATAGAGTTGGCCCCCCAGGGCTACTGATTTTTAAAAGCCATTCCCGATCCAACTGGTATGAAAGCTTCCGAAGCAAGTACTGTTCATTAGATCGTAGGAGCCCATTTTGTGCTTTGTGAAGGTTTGTTGCGACCAGACTTAAGCACACGGTCTCAACACATACCTAACATATATGACGCTGGAATATTCCCCGCTTTATATCACAGCTAGTAATCAATACTGGCGGTCTACTGTCGTAAACCATAGCTATGTGTCTCAAGTTGCTGTCGCTTAAGAGTAAGCGAGACTGCCGTCTGTCTCGGCGGACTGCCTTTAGCGCAGGTACACTTAACCTAGAGACCAGAGCTGGACTAACCATCAACACGTGCATGTGACTTGATGGGCGCGAGTGGCCCATCCGAGGTTCCTAAAGGTGCCTGTTATACGTACAACAGGATGGTCAAAATAAGGGTTTCATGTGCAAACTGCTCGACCTAGTTCCATGCCAAATGTGGGAAAATTGAACCAGAAGATCTTAGACTGATTAGCAGCAAGTCAGGCTCATCTTATATCCGCGCGAGGTGTAATACCGTCCCACTACTTAAAACTGTAAGCACACTGTCCAAGAAGTATGACAGGTTGACAGAAGGGCTTAAGCTTATTTTCGGCACCAAAATAGCTTCAGTAGAAACAATCGTTGCAGAGTATCTGACACAGGACTTTCCACCGAACTCCACTGTAAGCCAATCAAACAACGCCGGTTGTTCCACCAACAAAGTGACTCCTGCAAACACCGCCACTACTTAAAATCGCCCAAGCAAGCCCGAACACTTCACGTCAGCCCAACTGTAACAATTTCCCCTAACTGCACATCCTCCCATCAGGCTACGCCGAGGCCCAGGGAACAAGCTAATATCAGTGGCATCTGGGGCTCATTTGCAACAAAAAACATTAAAAAAAATCAGCAGCTGCTCCTTTTACTACTACACTCAAGACTAATCTGCAAACCACCGCTTTACTGCTGAGTAGCAAATCTCTCGGGCTCCCAACCACGACCCATACCCCTATGAAAGTCACTCAGAACTAAGTTGGTGCTATATCCATAATACGTACCATAGTTCCGGTGTCAAGGTCGGCCGGTGGCCGAATGGTCTGCACGCCAGGCTTGCAATCATAAGGTCACCGGTTCGAATCCGCGTAGGGGTGCGCTTCCTCACGGTGTACTCAGCCCGCGCGCTACTGGCAGTATTCGCGTAGCAGCGGAACGCCGTTAAGGCGTACAGTTGACAATTCTGATTTCTTTCTGAGTCAATATCGAATCCTTTGAAATTTAAACAGGTGGATGACTTGATCGTAAGTAACCCGCTCCGTATTTCGACTAATCTCAACAAATTGGCGAGGATCACCCGCCACTCCGATTGCAAGCACTGTCGTGAAGCCAGGCTTCTTCGGGTTGTGCTAAGCTCTGTAGATGAGATGGAAGCGGTCTTGCTTTCGATAGCTCGTCTACAGAACGGATCTCGTTTAGTTTATGTCTTTCCAGACTTTCCATTGGGCGAGCGTAAGTGAGCAGAGCAGAACCAAGAAGTGTTCCGCCTAGACACCGCAGCCAGAACCGATTTAGTCCACGAATTATTTAATTCTAATGAGCACGATGAATGTGAAGCAGAGGCTCACGACCAGAAGCAGTGGCCCTATATTAGTGAGACACTGCTCTTGAATGACGTTGTAGCCAATTCTATCTCGATGCTACCAACATCAGCAAGCCACAAAGGGTGCGGCCCAATGATACTGAAGGTTGGGCTATAAACTAGACAGATGGCACTTCAGCTACTGGAACGATGTCAGTCGCTTCGGAACAGACTGCCAATCGAGCTCCGGGTCAAGGCGGAGCGCGAAACCGTCGTCCGAGTTAAAGCGCTACCTCAGCAAGCAAAGGAAGTGGGATCCCATCCGATATTTACACTGGTAACAGATCTGAAAGGCAGTAAGTAAGTAATGTGCAGTCTGTATCCACTATGCATGCGCTGTGCAAACTGAGTTGCCAGTGGGACTAAGTATGGTTCCGCGTAACCCAACTCAAAACAGCTCGCTGATAATACTACTAAAACTGTCAAGCAACCGACCAGAATGTGGTTGGCACAAGCTCTCAGCGGAGCCACATCTATTTCGATTCGATGTTGAGAACCGAAAGACTTTCCTGCAACTACACCAATGCCCAAGGCCTCCCCAGCAAAATCGTTGAGCTTCCATTACGTCAGGCAACAAATGCTTGGGCACTCTTCTTCATAAGCGAGACTTGTTTGCACTAAGAAGTTAAGGATTTCGAGAGCGCGATTCGGGGTATGTCATTGTTCTGACACGATCGTCCCAGTAGGGTAAGTGGCGCTATCCTATACTATCGTAAGGACTTACAACGCGCACCACTAGATGATCAGAAGAGGCAGGTCACCGATTCGCTACGGGGCCGTTTGCGTTTCAGATACCATGATAACTGATACATGGCAGTCATTTATCAACTCTCTTCCAATTCATAGATGAATTCCCACCTAATATCAACACGGACAAAATGCTGACTCTAAACTTACATCCAGGTTAGTAGCTCCGGCGAGTTCAACGTGCACGACTTGATAACCCCCAGCAAAAAGTTTATAGCTGAACAGCAACACCTTACAAGTGTTACACTGTACAATCACAACACCTCAGCTACCAGGTACAGAGCTGATAATAATCGTCGGTAGTAAACTTCCCATTTACAAATGAGGAACTCATTGTCTACAGGTCGTTTATGGACACTCCACCAGAGTTAAGTGATCAAGTCATCATACTTTATAACTGGGTGTGTTACGCCGAATATCCGGAGGAGCACACAGAACTAACACGTACTATCATACGCTACAACATCAAGACCGATCTGGTTGCAATGACGGATTGAGGATTCGTGAAAATGAGTTCACCGGAAAGCGTCTGGTTCCGGTTTGTTTGACCCTTCAGAAATCTGATCGCAGCTGATCCGGAAACTAAGAGGATTCCTTCCAACAACTCATCGTTGTTCGTCAGAAGTAGAACTCGTGAATGCATATCACTAAGGAATGCAGCTTGGCACAATTACAGAGCCCGTCCTGGTCCCGGGACCTGGAGTGATTACTTGATGCAGCGCAACCATCGTAATATGCCAATCCGTGAGGACAAGGTATAATAATAATAATAATAATAATAATAATAATAGTGTAATGTGTCAGCTGTACCCCATAACGGCGCTTTGCTGTCGCGCGACCACCAGCAGTCGCGCGCTGGCTGAGTATACCGCGAGGACGCCCACCCCTACGCGCATTCGAACCGGTGACCTTATGATTGCAAACCAAACACGCAGACCACACGGCCACCGGCCGAATGAGGACAAGGTAGGTCACCAACAACATATGACATGTAAATTTGCCAGCAATATAAAGCTCTTACCTAAGCATGTTAACACCACTCAGAAAGTGAAGCACAGTATCCCTCCACTTCATACAACAGGCGGTGACACAGAGTGCTGAAGAAACAGCGAACGCCCTACGGATGCAGTATGCCACGACTTTCAAACGAGCCGTCTGAAATAGTTAAATAACCACATCCATATCCTGAGCTTCACCCCTTATCAACATTGCTTTTACTAACCACATTTGTGTTGAAAAAATGCACTCACTGCGCACATATAGTCTCCCTGGAATCGATGACATTCACCTGATGGCGCTGAATGTAACAACGATAGCGCTAGCCGAACAAGTATCGTAATTCTTCCAAACGTGTTTGATGAGCAAAAGGTTGCTACGTTGCGAAAACAAAGAGCAAACACGCTTGTATTCAAAAGTGTCAATCCCTCGCAACCCGCAAAATGCCGCTATTGATCCCCTTTTATGTGCTCTCAAAGGTGATTGAGGCAATCATCGCTGAGGCTTCAGTCGACCAAATAGAAAGCTGCTACATCACAGCAACTCAGCAGCACGGCTTCCGTCAACACATTTCAGTGCTCAACCAAACTAATGCTTCCACGCAATAGTTGCACGGAAGCGGCCGACAGAGGGACATGGACGAGTGTCATGTATCTCGACTGCTCCAAAGTCCTCAACGATCTAGACCACTGCATTCCGCTTCATATACTGGAAAGATACGGAATTGGGGATCTTCTCTTTGATTGGATGAGGCATTTTCCGCAGCATCGGCAACTGCAGGTTAGAGTGCGAAGTGCTTTGTCTGACCCGATTCATGTCGAATGTGGGGTTCCGCAAGGTTCAGTACTGGGGCCGCGTCTGCTTCGCTACGCTTTTGATAGCCTCGGATTTCCAGCTTTTTGTTTCTGATATTATGGTATTGCTGGCGGTCGCCAACTAAGGAGATCGCGATGCACTTAGAGAGACGTGGACCGAGCTAATAGATTGTCACTTCACGGTCGGCAGTTTTGTTAATCTAAATAGAAGGTGGTCCGCATTCGCCAATGTCCACATATCTTATACGAGCTG